GTATATTACTGCAGTGGTTCCATGTAAACAGGTGATTTTATTTATTTATTTATTTTTTTTTTTTGTGTGTGAATTTGTCCAAGCAAACATTAGCATTTTCAGAGACTGGTCTCGTGTAAAGAGGGCCTTCGCTTAAAAATTTGACGTTAGGGCATTAGGCAAAATGCCTCACAAACCATTAGACAGATTCTAAGGAAACACTGATTCAAGATGTCTGGCACAGCTAGTCAACTTTAGCCAACAGAAAATGATCACAAAAGACATTAGAGATAAAGTAATGGAGGGTCATTTACAACAACCCCAAGTCCTAACAAATGTATCTTGCAATATCTCACAATATTGTATAAGCTAATGCATAATGTCATTTGCAAGGTTTAGCCAAAATGGTTGCATCTCCATCCCTTATCATGAAATGCTAATATCAGGTTTTAACTCTGGCAGGAAAGACAATGTATGATATGCATTCCATCAAGGAATACCAAGCTTTCAATTTCATGTTTCATTGTTTGTCCTCTTTGCCTTGTGAGGCACTCACTTTATCTGATGAGACTACAAGATTGTATCCACCCAGCTTTTGCACCACCAACTCTAGGCCAAGTAGGAAGACATATTCCACTCCATTTGCCAGCGTAGACAGAATGATGGAAACCACACGTAGGGGTGATCCTCTTTTCCATGGTCACAGAGTCTGGCTGGCAGCTGGTCAATCGACTGTGACTTTGTAGCGTACAATTGGACTCCTCTTGCATGCCAAAGCGTCCTTTTGCAGATCAGACTTTGGATGACCTGCCAAGGAGGCAGGTTCGAACATATTGACTGCTATGCATATGCAACAGTTCCCTCGCAGCGGAACTTACCGAAGCAGAGAAAAACTGGAACTTGGCTGATGGGTGGAGGGGGCGTTGCTGCAGGGATCATTGACGGAGAAGGACATGCTATTTGCCTCTGGTTTCAACTTTGACTCATCTGTTTCCTGTTGGAGATAATGTGTGTATGTTTGTAGTCTGTGTCGCAGCTGACGGCATGGCTGTGAGTGCACATCGATGCAGGGTGTCCAACTGAGAAGAGGAAATGGATTTTTTTCCCACCATGTTGCAAAACAATACTCTATATGCATGATAGTAAAGAGAGATCTTTCAAGTCACAAAGGCTTTTCAGTAACAAGCACCCTGCTGACAGAAAGAAATGCCCAAGTATCACCAGTGAAAATACCTCCAACACACGAGTCTCTTTGTAACTCTCATTGCCTTTCTGAAAAACAGCATTTTTAGTAGCTTATCTCTTCTGAACAGTGTGACTGTGGTTATTGTTGTACAAAGTACATTCCCTCTGTTATCAGATGCTCTGCTTTTTAAAGTGCCTACCTTCCTAATTTCTACCACACACACACACACACACACACACACACACACACACACACACACACACACTGAATTATAGGTTTATTTTATAATCTAAATTATAGGTTTTAAATAATTTGCGGGAAGAAAAAAACAGCTTTTATTATAAAGAAGTAGCTAAATTTGTAGGTTGATTGTCTCCCACCCCCTTCTCTCGCCTCCTTCCCTTTTGTCTCTGACACATTGTTGAAACAGCTTCTGACTCTGTTTAGCTATTTTTGTTTCATTCATCCAATTTCCTCCACAGACACAAAAGACATCTTTGTAAAACAGTAAAAAAACGACAAGTACTGGATTGCTTGAAAACTGCCAGTGTGTGTCATTTAGAAAGCATCATCTGACTATTGAGAAGGCAGGAAGTCATTTGAACTGTAACCCAGGAAAAACAACCACCTCATTATTTTATATTTTATTAGGTTTTTAGGGCAATTACTGTGTTTTTTATCATTTCAGCTTCTAAAGATGATGACTCAACATCTTAAGTGTGTCACTCCTGCCTCTGTGGTGAATCCCCAACCACTGAGTAGTAGGTGCTAGAAAAGTCTGGTCAGGGTGACCCTGTGGAGCGAGCACAGGGCCAGCCTCGACACAGAGGCCCTTCTGGGACTGACCCCAGTGGTGAAAGTGACACTGAGGCACAGCAGAGAAAGAATAGTCCAGGTGTGACCTTTGACCTGCAGGGAAGTTAGAACTGGAACACTGAGCTTGGTTGTGACACTTTGTCTTAATTTAAAGCCAACCTGCCTCAGCTTCTGTGGCCTGTACGCTGACTGTGTGCAAAGGTGACATAGCTTTTTGCTACTTTTCAGAAACTTCTCCAAGGTTACACAAGCTGCAATAAGATTATTTTATGCTTTTCAGACAACACGCTTAAAGAGAACTGGCATGCACAGTATGTGACAACATACTAGATCGAGAGTATGAACTATTGAATAATACAGCTGATTTGCGCCAGCACAGTCCTATGCAAAACAAATGGTCTCAGGCCATGGTAAAATCAACCATCCTTACAATGATTTTAAGGACAACTGTTTTGCAGATGAATATTCCCATCAAAATCCTCCTGATTGGGGAGCTACTGCCTGTATAATATTTTTAATGCAGCAGTGGACTTTGGTTATGGCCATATAAATGAAAATAATTCACTAAAATTCATGACCAAAGGTATTTAAAATGTGAAGAGTTATAGGTTGACATTTTGTAAAGGTACAGCAGCCACAAGACATTCTAATCTTTGTTTAAAAGCAAATTAAAAGCTTCCAATAGTTTAGGTAAGTATCTTAATAGTCATACTCACCACATGTAAATCATCCCAGTTATAAATTTAAAAAAAAGATAAGGCACAAACTAATGTTGATTTATGAGTTGCCATCACTTAAAATTTCAATAACTTAATTTTGTTACTTTTGGACAAATGAAAGAAAAAAATAAAGAGTGAACAAAGAACAGCTTAAAAATTGATGAGTCATTATTAAGCTCTCTTAGTGCTTATGGATAATACTGCAGTTGTTAAGTAGTCTACCATTACTTTGTAATTAGCTTGTGAATAATATGAATCTTATACTGTACATCTGGTGCTTTATCTTGAGTGGAATGTCTGAGTTTCAGAAAAAGGAACACTTGCCACAAAGTCAGACTATTTGGGTTTTGATCCAATCTGAGCCATGGTACACTCACTGCTTTGAGAAGAATAAGTGTGAATTAAAGTCCATCTAGTTTCAGCTGGAAGACATCAGTCTTTTGCAGAGGTGTGGCAATCCCATTGAAGACCCATTTATTGATTCAGGTGCATGGCATTAACATGAGAAAGCATGCATGATGCACATAAAAGAAGACATTAAAGGGGGTGTATGATGTGTTTTTCAGGCACATAGTTCAATTCTACCCCAGTTAAGTAACTATGTTACTTTCAGTTATAAAAAGGCTGTTTATACACACTAAAAAAGGCTGGGTTATTTCAACTAACCAACTGCTGGGTTATGAAATTGTTAACCCAATATGAATTATTTTTTTATGGGAATTGGGTTATTTTTATGGGAACTGGGTTGTTTTTGTGCAACTCATGCGCTGGGTCAAACTCTTAGTCAAAATTCATCAACCCAACATGCATCGGTTTACCCAGCACCTGGGTTGTTTCTGTTTGGAACGTCATCACGTTGACAAAACGTGCTCCTCCTCCACCGAACCACACCCGCCACCCAGACAAGCTCCATGCTGATTTGTACCTGCTTAGGTCATTTTTGGTCTGATGTCTTTTCAAGCTTAACTATTCTTTTAAAATACAATAAAAGGTAGACTAATGTTAATTATTTTGAATTTTCAGATGATCTGAATCTTTTCCTATTTGTAAACCTAACCTTCATTTGAAAACTATAATTTGGTCCTTTCTTACACTCACTTACTCTTTTGCATTCTTTCTCTTTTTCTAGCCTGGAACAAATATGGTGGAGTACCTGCATGAGGCTATGGCATCCAGACCTTACCCCTATGTTCTGACACTGGGAAATGACAAGGAGCATGCATCTCAGACCTTTGTCATCACTGCTGGACAGGCTTTGGAACAAGACACTCTGCTTCAGGCAATCGATGTCTGTTTCAAGGCCTTCTTTATCTTGGACATTAAATACCCAAAGCAATGTGAACATGTGTGGGAATTTCTGCAGAGTGTGGTCTATGAAATGCCAGGAGGGGAGTCCAAACTGGTAAAATTTCTTCAAACTAGAATACTTGCATGCCAAGAGAACTAAGAACCTCTTGGACAATTTGTTACATTTTTTTTACATTAGACATGTTACATTAAGCATTGTTGGTATTGAGGAAAATGGCCTCAAGGACTGCTTGTTGCTAGCAGTTTGACACTAGGTCTGTTAATTGTTGTCAATTAAGCATTGTGCATGGTTTTAATTCTAACAATTTTAACTTTTTCCATAATTGTTAGATTTGATATTGTTGACATCAAGTTGGAATAAATTTCAAGGCAGGGCCTTGTAAAAATCCCAGTATTGTTTAGGTGTTTATTGCATCATGTGCTTTGCATGACCACATCTAGCATTATATTGTAAGATTTGCTCCTGAAC